ATAATGGCAAGATACAAATTTCATCAGCTTGAACCCAAGCTACAGCTTCACACTAGCCTTTCCGGCATTGGAAGTTGACTTAGCTCCTTGTCAACTTGACTAAGAGATAAGATGGGCCAGCTCAGGCAATTCATGCGGTTACAGTGATAGCACCTTATCAAATTTGCGACGAACACAGAGGCATAAAACAAGCAAGATCAGCGTCCGCTGACGGCGCGGTCTACCCTCTAGACTCTAGTAGCGGGACACTCTCGGAGCGTTGCATGCACACACGTTTTCTTCTGAAGATACTAATGCCAAGAAATACTGACCCATGATTATATGTATTAGAGAAGTGGACTTCAACTTTGAAGATTTCCAATACTGTAATCGCAAGGCATGGGTGAATGTAGATCTTTCATCCAAGGCCCACCGTGATGCTGAGCTGTTTCTATGAGAACAATCGCCGAACGTCCGACCCCGTGTGGTGTAAATAAACGACTCGTTGAATTTTTAAAGACTATCGAATGCTGCCTTCTGAATGGGGGATATCGTCGGATGAATCTTTTGACGACAACATAACGCGCGGCTTTGAGCGTGGGAGTAAAAAAAAGTATAGATAAGTTCATCGGTAAGTAAAGGAGCCGCAACGCGCCAATTGCCCGTCATGACGAAGCTAGTCCATTTCTAGAAGGCGGTGAACATCGCAGTGTAATTTTATTTTCCAACTTTTGCATCTTTCTGCCTCCAAAATATCCCACATTGACATGTATGAATCCACAATCGTCCCTCTCGATTCTCAATTCCTGCTGCCCCTGAAGGTGGATGTCCATGAATTTCCATGGTATCAACCCCGTCACCTTCGAATCTCGATGCTGTCCTAGGATATGTGGCTTTGCAATAAGTATACATGCTGAAACTCGCCATGAATAGATCTCACGCATGAAAACCAAAAAAGAAGCACTGGATCGACCGCTACCATAGATTAAAAATATCCACGAAGGCGAATCTCAGATTCCAAGGCGACCAGCTCATTTCAATGTGTTGTACTGGTACTTGTGCTGCCAGAAAGTATGCAACTCCGAAGCTAGATGCACACACCACAAGATGGTAAGCCACAAAAGGACTAACATGATTTTCTTAGCGGCGGAATTGTATACTTTCTGGCAGCACGAGTAAAGGGGGAGAGGATATACATTGAAAGATGACATATACCCAAAGTTTCTGCTGCTGAAGATCTGTGAGAATCTGGAGACGCAAGTAAATGCCGTCGCAGCGCAAACCAAAGCAGTAAAATCCCAGAAAACCAGACTAGTTCGAAAATAAGGAAAAACTTCATGCGTTGTGGAGTTTTCAGCTGGATCAGCTGATTACTGACTTGGAACGTGTACCCAAGTGCTGGATAGGACGTGCTTTTGGGATCTGCATGCAGGCCTTGGCCACTTAGAGGATAAACAGCGGACTTGGTGCTTGCCATCATTTTTAATATACTAAATTTAAGACTAATTGTGATCCATTGATCAGCCCGAATGCTCACAAAACGTACTGGTAGTTCCATATACTAATTTGCCCGCTTTGGGAGCTCCCTGCAGAATGAACGTCTCGATCCAGACAAGCTGATTGGTCTCATCAACAGCCCTGTTATCAAGATGAAAAGTGCGTAGAGTTCTTGCATTATTTCAAAGGATCACTACAGGTCGACATCCTCTTCTTCTATCCTGAATCTTCGTTTTTTATCCTCCATCCTTTGATCAGGATGCATTATCTTACTCTTTGCTTCGTTGGTTTCGCTTTGAGTCTAATAACAAACGCGGGAGCAGATTCAACTTCGAATTGCTCTTGTGGTTATTATGATCCAGCGACAGAGAACCTATTTACCGACTTCTTGATTGTTTACTTCAACGAAACGGCCACATTCCCGTCTGAGGTATTCCAGAACCAAGACTATGAAAACAAGTACGAGAAGAGCTGGAATGCACAGTATCGTTCAGGTGCCGATCCGTCCAATGTCCAAATCACAAACTCGACATCCACTGGCATCAGAAATTCGTCATCGTTGGAATTCACGATAAACCCACCAACCTCTGAACATCTTGTCAAAGGTGGTGCAATCAGAACTCTAAGATCTGATATTCAATATGGTTCTTTCAGATCAACCATTCGTCCAGCTCAAGCTTGGACTGGAGGTACCGGCATGTCAATGCTACTCAAGTACAACGAGACACAAAACATCCAGATCAATAGTTTGAATGCTCAAAAGCCTACAGACGCGTGGATCAATACTTTGCTTGCAGACGAGTTCCCAAATCGTGTCTATGGGCTCAACTTCAGTGCATTGGCCAACAACGCTACCTACAGTCCAGAAATTAATCCTTGGGACTTCACTGAAGTTCGCATGGATTGGACTAAAGATACCGTGCAGTTCTATATCGGGAATGTCCTAGCTCGCTCAGTATCAACTAAGAATATAAGCAGCAAGAGGTTTCCAATCACCCCTTCGCCTCTATTGTTCAAGCTTTGGTCGAATGGTGATTCATATTTCACGGGTGGACCGCCCACAAGAAACACCACAGCCAACCTCGGATGGACCCGATCATTTTTTAACTCATCAACCATGACAGATGAGCAGCACAAAGAGTTTGATACGAGATGCAGTGTTACAGATGCATGTTTGATGGACGACACATCATTACGTGGTTATACTGCTTTCGGGGTGAATTCTATCACAAAATGGAAAGCCATACACCATGAGAGTGGGGTCCGAACTTTTGCTTACATTTGCCTCTCATGTTCTGTGGCTCTGACTGTACTGTTACTTTGCAACGTCACCTTCCAAAGATGGCCTACGAAGGACTCAAAGACTCCCAAGGAGCCAAAAGTACATAGCTGTTACCGTCTTCCACCCCAAATTTCCAACTCTAAATTTTCCTCGTCATCGGATACGACAGCAACAATGTCAACGAGAGCTTCATCTATGGATCTAAATAATCCAAAAGATGACCTCGAAATAACGAAGGTTGGCTTCACGCCTGGATCTTCGACACTCACCCTCAAAGATATGGTCAATCAAGAAGCCACACGTAAGTCAAACAACAGTCCGTTCGCAGCATCTCGGCAACATTCTACCTCAAACATGAGCGGGTTTACTTTGAACGATCCCATATCGCCGTCAGCTTCACATAATAGACTCTACAGTTTCAATGATACCCCGAATGATTCGATGGCTATAACGCCCCAAAGTTCATTATTCTTCGGTAAAGACGGCCGTCCAGATTTAGATGGTGCTACTCCGCACAATTCGTTCATCTATAGTAAAAATCCAGCAGACACATCAGAGAAGAAGGACTGTTCGATGCCGGGCATTACCAAAGGTAATGAAATTGAGAACACTAGACCAGCACCCCCCAATCACGCTGCTTCAGAAGTTCCAGCCCCAATCGCTTTCCCAGCTGCACCCATCAACGCTCGGACAGCACCAACCAAGCGAATTGATTATCTAGCAGGGCTTATATCGATCGCAACCCTTTTGGTGACTCTTATTCATTTTATATTCACATTTTCGCCAGCAATGGGTATGGTTGGCGCCCTTGAGCACTACAGCTATGAAATCATCATTCGAAAGACCATTGGATCATATCTCCTCAATCAAATTCTTCTTGGACTTTTCTTCATTACATCCACTCGTTTCCTTGTCAGTCGTTATCTACGTACTGGTGATCTTGGAAGCATAGCTGAGAAGACGACGGGAAGAACGTTCCGTGTCATGATTCCGATCGCGGTATGTGCTATGCTTGAGTACTTTTTGATCGATGTGGGAGCTCTCACGTATTTAGAATACCTCCCCAGTATCAGTTGGACAACATGGCCTTATGCTGTGGCATATACAGATTTCGCTCATTCCATCTCCGAGATCCTTGAGCTGGTGTACTTGCTTCCTAATGCAGCTCCACTGATCACCTACAACTACTGTACGGGTGTTTTGTGGACCATCCCGGTTCAAATTGAAGGTTCGTGGATCACACTTTTGGGATGCATCGTGGTTAGAGAAATCAAAACGCCTTGGAAGCGTATGTGCTACTATGCATTCTGTATTATCAACCATTGGTATGCTCAAAGTTGGGGCACATTTTTCTGGGTTGGAGTTCTTTACACCGATCTAGACGTCACCTTCAAGTACAAAAAGTGGTTCAAAGACCACGCTTTTGTCCTCTGGACCGGAATCGTTATTGGTTTCATGCTAGCCATTGCCGCACTATCAAACGATTTAATCACTGCATGGACAGGTTTCTCCTTGCCTATCGTAGAACGAGGTATTCATCCGGATCCCGAGAGCGGTCTTCCAATCGCCCAAACAGCGAACGCGGGATATCCGGAATATTTTAACCCTCGTTTTAATGGAATCATATTTGCCGTCGGTCTCCAATTCGTCATCGAGAATTGTTACTTCGTTCAACGTTTCTTGTCCATGAAACTTTGGTTGATGCTCTTCCCCCATATCTTCACCATCTACCTTATCCATGGTTTGATTTGGTGGTCGCTAGGTAGCACAGTATGTGTACAGTTGGCTGCCAATACCTCCCTTCCATATTGGTCTGTTGCCCTGATTACGGCGATAGTTTGCTACGGAACTTTGTTCGCATCGTTACCAGTTGTTACACCCGTGGTGGAGACCTTGGGAAGGAATGTTACCGGTAATATTTGGAGAATGGCGCACATTAAGCCGGCTCCCAGAAGAAAGACCTTATTCCCTTTTGCGGACAGGCTTTTCTTGGACTATGAAGAAAAGACGGGAGAGATTGTGGATGAACAAAAGGACGTGGAAAAGAAGGCAGGAATAAATGTACATGAGGAGGAATTGTGAATGGTGTTTTAAGTTTTGGATTTATGAAGATACAATGTATGATATTGAACGTGATACCTCTAATTTAGTTATGATTTGAAATATTGAAAGAATTATAGAAGCCAAAAGTGAAAGAGATAAGCTAGTCGGTGAACTCAAGAATGAAATACATATCCGAACATCATGTCTGCTTCGCAATCTCTATAACAACTTTCTTTGCCGACACGCCATTCCTGAGAAGATCTATCCCATCCTGCACTCTTCCTAATCCGCCCTCAAGAACTTCCGGGTCTGGCTTGGCCAAGTACTTTCCCTTGGTCAATGCCTCCGGTACGTATTTCCGCCACACAGCATCACCAATATTAAAATCTACAAGTCCTACGTCTAACCCATTTACTAAATGATGAAGTTAATTCAAGAATATCAAGAAATGTGAAAGATAAGACATACCTATAACAGGCTCGACATTATACTCATTTGGTACAGGTGGTAACAAAGCAGCAAACTTGCTAGCACCAATTCTATGAGCGATTTCAGCACAAGCGTGTTGTGTGTTAGTTTGAGCGATGCAGTCAAATATGGCATCGCCTGTTCGAAGGATCGCCAGGATGTCTTGTATAACGGTAGGTGATTTATGGTCAAAAGCGTGGGTCGCGCCAATACTTTTTGCGAAGTCGTAGTTTTGGGTGCCGGCAGTGGTAATAACAGTGTAGCCTGCTGCTTTCGCCAATCTTCACAATTCAGTATCAGTTATTCAGTAGCACAACAGAAATAGATGCGCTTACTGGATTGCCGACGCACCACAACTCGAACTTCCACCCCAGATCAAAATCGTCTTTCCCGCCGGCTTTGGATCCAGTACTGGAAGCGGCATTCCCAAGATTTTGAAGAGTCCCGCAGCAGCCGTGGAAGTAGCAAGAGGTAGGACAGCTGCATTTGCCAGTGGGATATCATCCGGGACTACAGAAACGAGAATCTCGCTACCAGTAGCATAGTGCTGAAACGCGGTGTTTTGGACGATTCGTGTGAAGATTCCATCACATTGACCTATGACCCGTTGTCCAATCTTAAAACGGTCTACGCCAGATCCAAGTTTAACAATGGTACCAGAGACGTCGGCGCCGAAGATCCAGGGATAGGGCATGCTGAAATAAGCGATGTCTTGCATCTAATGAAGACATTGGTATTAATTGGATGTAAGAGATGGGAATTAATAGAGTAACCGACCTTCCAGTCAGTTGGGTTGACAGCTGCGTAGGCTACTCCAATGACTACTTCGTTATCTCTGGGGCTAGGTGTTGGTCCTGGTCCTACTTTTACTTGGCCTTTCTCTGTGGGGATCCATGCGGCCTGATTGTTCGTAATTAGAGACATTTTGGAATAGTGTATGTTCAAGACTTGAGTGTTTATGTTTATGATGTGTTGCATTAATAGAAAATTACTGGCCGATTTATATACTCTCATCACAGGGGGAAAACTCTCGATGTGGTATTTTCTTGGAAAACATTCACGGACATCCGTCGTCGGATCGTCGCATTAAAGGAAAGCAACACTATTATGACATCAAATTAGCAAACGTAGCACACTGATAACAATTTGACAAAATAGTTGATTTGCAAACTCTAACCGGAACTCGTGATAGGGAGTGTATCTGTACCTTACCTAGACCTATTTCGTACCCCTGACCCCACTTTGATTAACAATCGGTGAATCCTTCCTGCTTACCAACCCCGAGAACCAAAACTCTCCGTGCAATAGATAAAAAACACCAAAGTTCTCCGAAGCTTCACAATCTTTCTCCTTAAACATCTGCCTTCAAGTAAATCCTCAAAATATGGAGTCAAACCAATCCCCCCATGAAAAATTCATGTGTAGTGTTTGTGGTAAGAATTGTGGTAGTAGTGAGTCAACTCCTTTCATCATAGATTGCAAGAAAAGTTAAACTTAGTATGCAGAGAAATCTCAACTTCGTCATATCTCATATTGCAAAAGAGTCAAATCTCGTGGTGGTGTAAGATCAAGGAAACGTGCTTGTTCGGCTTGTACCAAATCCAAGACGCAATGCGATTTGATACATCCAAGCTGCTCACGATGTCTAAAGAAGAGCTTAGGCTGTGTTTATGAAGGACCTCACTTTCCAAGAGGAAAGAATCTAGAGTCAGAAGTAGGGAATCATACCGATACTGGTGCGAATCAGATCGAAGAAGCATCTTTGATTTCATCTTCGTCGCAAGACAACACTGCACCGGTCTTGCCGGATATCCATGAAGCCAGCATGGTTTCGAACCCATTGCAGATTTCGGGTGTTACCACCGATGGTACTATGAATCTCGAACTTCCAAATGAAAATTGGAATCTCGATACTGAAGACTGTTTTCCAGAACATCTGTATGTTTCAGTTTTCAGCACGCCTACACAATATTCCGCACGGCTATTACCCATAGAACCGTCCCCTATTTTCGCGAGCTATCAACCGAAAAATAGTGGTTCATTTTATAGACTATACGATCAACCAATACCAACCGCTCCAAAAGCATTTGCACTTCGAAGACCGTCCAACAATCAATTTTCCTTGAACAGAAGTTACATCCTGTGCACTTTACCAACCTACCCCTCAATGTTACTTCCCAGTAATGACGATGGGCTTCCACCATTTATCCATCCCCATTTCAGCAGCCGTAAAGCGCTTCCCGCACCGCTAGCTACATGTGTTACCATCATACAATGGATAAGTATGAAAAATAAGGATAACGTTTTGTTCATATGGGGGTGCATTAAGATGGAGATCGACAGAATATGTATCCAGGTCGGTTCACAAATCAATTTCAAATTGGGTGTATTCTAAAGAGAAAAAAATGCTAGTATACCACATATAATCGAGAAGATTCCGTCGCTGCTCTCCAAGCCATAACGATTTATCTTCTCCTTCGAATTTCAGAAGATAATGAGAAAGCAACAAATTTCGATGTTCCATTAATTTCCGCTATGATTGTAAGTAAATCCCATTTACATTTTTGGTATTCGCGATGCTTTCGTACCGCCACACTAATCTAACGATAGAAACTTTCAATACACGTTATTCACCTTGCAGAAGACCTCCAAAATGAGGGTGCTCTATCGTGGAAAGAATGGGCATTGGCCGAATCCACACGCCGGTAAGTAGTTGAGCTGTTTCCAATATCTAGCTGATGGAGAAGGCTACTGCTGCAGAAGTTTGTTCCACTAACTCGACTTTATCGTGGCCAGCACAATTATCATACTGTTCTTCATCGACCTTTTTTTTGACATCTCCTCTTCAGTCCATGAATACCGCTGTGACGAAAATCGCCTAAAACAAATGACTCTACCTTGTTCTCGCAAACTTTGGAGAGCGACTACAAATGAAGCGTGGGAAGATGAGTGTGCAAATTCAATGAGAGGCATACAACTTATGTATGGAGATCTGATAAATTCTCGAAATAGGCCTGAGGATCGGAGGTTAGATGGATGGTTATCTCAATTGGATGACTTTGGAATGCTAGTCTTGGCTGCAGCAAGTTTGGCTTCATGAGTAGTATGAAAGATGAAGCATATTAGAACGAGAGAGAAATTAAGGGAGTTACAAAGGATAAGAACACTGGAATGAAATTTACGATACTCGATGAAAAGATTATGCAGTATTATTCTCTAAATTCATCCATTACCCTTGTATTCTCATTCGAAGTGGCTTTGACATTTTATCTATCGAGTCACCATCTGTACACTTATATCAAAATCGGGTCTCGAGGACTAGTTGCGATTTTCACTTGCAAGAAAACGCTTAGTCGTGAAATTGTTTCAATGTAATGAGGCTACCCTCAACTCAACCCATGACAATCTAGCTGTCCAACTCAGCAACCTTCAACAAGCACGACCTTGTACCCAACAGATCTAGTGTATCGATTGCTGGTCTAATCTGGCGACTGTGAGCTCCTAGAAGCATGAGTGACATCTATCGCTGGGCTTCATAGTTGTTGAATGCCCATGCCCTCCTTAAATTCAATGGTGCGGGTCTCGTTTTCGCCATCTTCGAATGTAAACACACCCAAATAAAATAGTTCAAGCAAGCCAGCACTTGCCTGTGCCGCATTGAAAGGTGTGCCTTTCATGTTAATTTCATCTGTTAGACGCAACAATTCTGTGGTAACCTTCCGATTGTTCTTAATGCGCTCCAATATCTTCATGCTTCCTAATTTTCGTTTGAAGTTTGCGACAACTACAAAAGCGTCAGGTGAGTATTTGGAAGTTCCCCTAATCTCCTTGAAAACTGGACACTCAAGGATCTTTGAAGAGACGTGGTTATGATATTCGCAGCAGGTTGTCGATGAACTGTTCCAATTCTCGATAATTTGTGGTTCCGATATCAACGGGTTGATATTATGGGTTTTGGCCACTGGAACTCCAGGAAACAAGCTTCCCCAATGTTCCAGTTGTTCCGGAGGAAAAGGTTCCAGATAAATCTTTGCCAGCTTGGAGGGTCTAGATTGTGATGCGAGTACTACCATCGAGTTCAAAAAACGGATGAAGTAACGCAAGGGTCCTGGAAGCTCTTCTATACCTCCTAGTTCATCATATGAAGCTGAGAATGTTTCTTCAATACGTGCAATCCATTGGGGCTGTACAAGTCTGACATGTCCGTCCTTGATTCTGAACCATGTGATAAGGTAGTTTGTGACAAAGTCTTGTAGAACCAAAGCACAGTACTTATGAGCCAAACAATACAATTCCACCCTAACATTGACAGACGAATAGGAAGTGTTTTCATCTGCCATGTTTATTCGATTTGTGTAACACCATTCGACTAGTAACTCGAATGCAGCGAAGTTATCCTCTGGCAAGTCTATGACTTTGGAGGTTGCCTCGCTGAAGTTCCCCCGGAGCATGGCGTCAAAAACTTCCATCTTTTCACAAATGACATTTTTGTGCACTTTGATAGGCTTAAGTTTATCACCTACTCGGAAGGTGATAACTTCGTCGCCAAGAAACCTATTGAAAACAAAGTTAGTCTATTTTACATGATACTGGCAATGATTATGGCGAAGCACGCCGAGACTTACTTTGAAAAGTGTTTGGACTGTTTTGAAATGGGAGAAGGGTTTGCGCCATTGGCAATTCTTCTTCTGGTACCACGTTGACAGGAGGACATGGTGGAGGTATTCTCTCAAATGCCTGAATTTATATGAGATCGGTCAGACGAGAAATCGCTTTGCGACAGAAGTGAAGTCAGTTGTGAGGAAGACCAAGGAGCGGACGTGCTTTCGTATGTTAGTCTGACAGATTTTGATATAAATTCGATTATGAAGTCGATAATCTAGAAGTGGGTGTTTATGAAGTAAAAGTTTGAAGAAATGGAATGTTATGAAAAGGGGGACGTAATAAGAACTTTAAATAACAGAATTTGTGATACAATGGCCGTATGGAACGCGTAGAGTGAATGGTCCAATGCTGCATTTCAATATTTAACTATTGTAAAGTTCAAATCAAAGACCGTATATGGTGGCCTCGGTACGGCCATTATGTCAATCGCGCACCCAAGAAGCCATTTGGTTGCGACTAATAGAACATTGAAATCATACAATAGTCTTATGTTACTCACCTGGTAGGAGAGGTGGGGAAATAAAGGTGATGCACAGTGAAATTTAGAATTGATGAACGTTGAAGAATGAACAGTTTTGCAGTTTTGGCTTCGTTATCATCAAGATCATACGGCCCCTCTTCTCTACATTCAATGTGCTGTTTTCCCGACGAGCTGAACTGATGGCAATTGTCAAGCCATCAAATTTTCTGATACCATCAACCATAAAGTAAAAGATTGACAGGCACACTAATGATCTCAATGAGACTTTTTTGCTTTCCTTGTCGCCTGTTTCCAGGACCTCAAAGGTAATGACCCAAGGGTGGTGGAATTGTAGTAGGGGCTATAACAATATACTTGTTGGGGATGAAGATTAATGCCGATATACGAATCGACTGAGAGTAGCCTTACTTGAGCACTCTTTCAATCACCATAGCACTCCTCTCCCTTTGCTTCTCATTTGAAAATGTTTATAGGTTACATGAAACCATTACAACTTTGTACGGTAAATGCTCATGCAATACGCGCTCATCGATCGATCCATTCGACAAGGAAAAGGATGAGAAGTATGAACTTCAATGGATTTATCACCCTGATAGATGTTGATATAGATTGATATCTCTGCAAGGCGCAAAATCTCGTAGACGTATTCGAATTACACGAGGAATTATTGTTGAGGTGAGAATGGCACTTCGATGCTTAGATTGAGGAGAAGAGAGCAAATAAAATGCAATCGCGCTAGCGGCCGTCGCACCGAGGGATGCGTGGTCAATGCTCCGTTTGTGGAACCGGACTGACAACTTTGACACCTGACATCCCTCTATCTAATTACTACAACCTCTAGCTATTCTGGCTGTCTTTGATACTCTCATTGTAGGGACTTCTTGGGTCTTTGCTTTTGAATAAATTCAGATGATAGTCTGATATTTTCATGAATTAGCAGACTTGGATCCATGTCTTCCTCCACAAGTTGGATGACTACTGCATCCCATCAAGTCTGAACTGAAACCACGTTTCAAAAATGCTGTCGACCTGAATATGATGCATCGCATTCATCGCATACTTCACATCTTTTACACAAAGTATTCGGATTATTGTTGCGCCATCACCGGCCTCAGATTATTTGTCCAGTTTCAGATTCTTGCTAGTGAAGCTGGCGGTCAGACCTCCCACCACGTATTTGCACACTATCGCATGTTTCGCCTTATATAGAAAGCCTTTACTTCATCCTTCATCATGCATAGCAAGAATACCATTTCTAGTGTTAAAGGCTTTTGTTAGCGTCATCTTCCATGTATGATCTGCGAGGCGCGAGTAGATCTGATTGAAGTACGTTTTTGTTTCCTCTAGTCAGCCTTATGAGCTATGTCGATGCCGCTTGTACGATAATTGGCTCGGGATGTTAGAAGATTCATGTTGGTACCGATAACAAGATTAAAAGGTGATGTTCTGAGGTTACCACTGCTCCCTTTGCAAAGATATAAGATGTGACTCGCGTATGGCTACCGGCGCGGTTTAGTAAAAGTCCCAATTGCATAACAGCTCCAGTTCAGTCGTCTGAAGTTCTTAACTTGCAACACAACTAGTTAGTAAATCCCATACTCGCAATCATACCTCGATCAGATTATCTTGAATATTCGGATTAAACTTAAGGTGAGCATTCCCGTTACAAAATCACCCTATGAAACAAAGCTTAAGAAAGGTGTTTTCAAAACAGCCAATCGGATACAATGCTACAAATCTAAGTTAGGAGGCTTGAGAGATGTTCAGGAATATTTGGACGCAAATACAAGTGGAGTACGCTCCATATGTTCTTCCAAGCTTTGATGTCGATGCACCACATTGGCATATATATATACAATCTGCGGGGAAGCTTCATTCCTCCCTTCATCAATCACTTTCTCTAATCATTTTCATCTGATCGCAACTTTGGTCACTTTCTCAAAGTTGACAACACATTCATTTCATACCTCAAAACATTCTTTCCACGTTGATCGTGTAACACATCTCCTTTATTATTCTCTTTTCACGAGCAGGACAAATAACGAACACTATCTTTGGCCCGATTAATTGAACATTATTTCCCATTTAAAATCATGAAGCTCACAGCAATCTCGACTTTCCTTCTTGCGGGTCTTGCATTTTCAGACGGCGCATTAGGCTATGTATCTCGTTATATACATCGTCGAGCATTAGGACCACATGCGAGTAACATTGCTCGATCTCCGTAAGGCATCATTGATGGATATTAAATGGTGCATGAATTAACATAAAAACAGAGAGATTGTCAACTTGAATAATGCTCCAGTACCCACCCCTCTCGCAATTCTCCCTCGCCAGAATAATACCAACAATGGCGCCACCGCATCCAACATTAACGCACAATTGACCCTGACTGCCGTTCCCGCCAATACAACCACGGGCTTAGTTTCTTCAACCTCAACAGGTCCCACACCAACAGGAACTGCAGCGGCCGTGGGAGGTATTCAACCTCCAAATGTCGAAACCACAACTGATCCAGATCGACCATTCTCTGTGAATGGAAACACCTTTACGGACATTGAGGATGCTGTTGATAGGTCATGTGCAATTCAGCATAATGCCTGTGCTGATGCAATTAACAATGGGGAGCTGTCGGATGTGGACATTAGTGATTGTGACGATCAGCTTTCAAAGTGTGTTGCGACTGGTTAGAGATGAAACATTAATCAGTTACGTAGTGGAGTACAGTAAAGAGCGGGAAAGGACCTGGGAGTTTATAATACTTGAGCTATCACTCTTTAATCTCCCTTTAATGACCACGACATATTTTTCAGATGTTAGTAAAGTTGTCTTACTGCATATGAATGTACAAATGATAAAGCATACAAATGAGCATACGTATTTTACCACGTTCAGGGTCGAAATTGTACTTAGGTGTCATTGAAAGGTCGACAAATTCGTAGTCTGGTACTAAT